CACTGCCCTTTTAAAGGGATCTGGATCATCAGACTTTACTTACAAAGGTTGAAATGAAAAAAAAGTCTGATGATCCAGAGCCCTTTAAAAAGGCTGTGGTGAAATGATTTATGACATGGAACCTTAAAGTGGTCTGTTTTTTATTCAATACACACACATATATATATATATATATATATATATATATATATATATATATATATAATTTTAAAGTATGCTATATTTATGGGTTAATGTGCTCAGTAGCAGGGTTAGAGCGTATATAAATAGAAAATTGAACGTTGAGGTCAGCATGAAAGCCACTGGGTGTTGAACTTTATATATATATATATATATATATATATATATATATATTTTGTGCGTGTGTGTGTGTACAGGTTGCGATGGGTAAACTGTCGTCATGCTGTACTGCTTGGCATTCTCGCCGGAAGCTCCATTACAAACATTTCAGAATGTTTGGTTGTCAATCTGATGACAGTGCAGAGGATCGGGAGGAGTTGGATGAGTCTAATTACGAAGGTATTCAGAATGATCACTAATGATGGCAACGTTATGCCTCCATTCATCTTCCCACAGGGCCTCAGACTCAACACAGAGGCCAACAACAAGTGCCTTGAAGTAGTACTGCTGTCCTGTGTCAAGAGGGTGGCTGCTGGAGGGCTCTATGGCTGTCAAAAGTAATCTGCAACATACCATACAAGCAGAAGGATACAGTCATGGCTGTCAAACAATTTCTGCAATCACATCAGCCCTTACATCTGATCACCTAACTCCCCAGACTGCGACCCCCTTGATTATTATGTGTGGGGCGCAGTTGAGTGAGAGATTAACAAAACTCCTTGTAAGACCAAAGATGAACTGAAGGCCAGGATTATGGCAGCATTCACCAACTTATACAAGGAAACCGTCCAGAAGAGTTGCAGGAGATTCCGAAGTCGTCTGTAGTCCGTGGTTGAAGACAGTGACGATTATACAAAAGAAAATTTACTCTTTAGCATTTCCAGATATTTTTGTGTAATTTTGGTAAATATAACTGTTAAAATAAGATGTCAGCGTTATTTTCATTTTTGCGTAATTTAGACGACAATTTATCAATCGCAGCTGTATATATATATATATATATATATATATATATATATATATATATATATATATATAAAAAAATCTCTGAAAATTAGAAAAAAATATTCGCATCACACATTCCGTCCTTTAAGATTTCATCGGACTCTCCACATGTGGTCAGCCATGCCCGATTTCTCCACTTCCTCGAGTTACAGGTGGAAATAATTAATGACCTACAAGGACTTTGTGAAGCCTTTGGATTCTATCGCCTAAATATTACAACAGTACGCTATTCACATTATTCGAATTATTGTCCTCATCTTTGTCGCCATATTTATTACAAAGTTTCGGCCGTTGTACGCTCCGGTCTTCTTCAGTTGGTTCAAATGTCAAACTGAACCCTTTATTTCGCTCACTGGGGTAGACTTTTTAGTTCCACGTGCCATGTTTAACTGATGTCAGTCATCAGATATCTCCTGTTAATTCACCTCTCCAAGTTCTCCACTGCCTTAACCGGGTATTGAAATCACACTCATGTCACGCCAATGCCTTTATCCACTGTGCCATGTGTCCTTGAGGACATCTGTGTATGAATGTCTGGGTATTATAAACTTAATCTCTCTCCCATAGGAAGGATGTGGCAAGCCTTTCGCTGCTCTACCGCTACTTTCACGGAAAGTGCTCAGACGGACTAATTTCCCTGATTCTGTCAGGCTTAAGCGTCATGACAAGGACCCACAAGGCTACTTACATAGTAGCAAACCCCACCCACATTCCCTCCGTATTACATCGGGGAGAAGTAAGTTCTACTGAAACAGTTCCTTCCCACGGACAACTGCCCTATGGAACAGACAACAAAAGAGGATGTTTCGCCGATCACTACAGTCGTAACCTGTTCAAGTCTAGGGTTAACTGTTATATTACCTTCCTATCCGTACAAACTTTCTCCTAATGTAACCCTCTACCTCGAGTAGGGCCCAGGTGTTGTACAAGTCAACCTTACTATAAAAAATGTTTCTGAAACTAAACACAGGAAATAAATTAAATCCTTGAGTATAATAATCCCCCCGTAGTAATGTCATCCCTATGTAAATTCTGTTTGAAAAGTTGTACAATATTATCAATGAAAAATTTCAATGTCGTCCACATATTCCAATAAAATATTTAATTTTTCACAGTATTAAAGAATAGAAAGGAACCCGGATGTTCAGTCATTGCGTGTTTCCTAATTTCCGCCTCAAAAATTATTTTCGAAGAAAGGTGTTTTTTGTTAACATTAATTTTATCAAAGCATGGCAATCCCTTTATTATTTTTTTAACTAATTTCGGTAAATTTGAAATTTAAAATTAAAATTTAAAATTTAAAACAAAAGACGTTCAATTACGCTGATTTGCAAAGAACAAATATGGTTAACATATGAAATAAATTTTAAAAACAAATGTTATGGCCAATGAAAGGGCCTCGTGCTTCCATCGAATCTATGATACCGGGCCCTCTATTCTAGCATATCTCAATTTTCATAAGGTTGTATCGATATAAAAAGCAAATTTTATTGTAACCTAATTATGTACAATAATAGATCCTATGCAATGTAGCTGAACAATTCAATTTGAAATTTAAAAACAAATAAAATGTATTTAAATACAAATTAGAGACATATCATAATAGATTATTCCTTCGTAAATAAATCAACAATTTTTGCGGCAATTTTTAACATCAACTTCAGATTTTTCTTGTTAAATAGTTGAATAATTTAATACAATCAACATTATAGATAAAAAAAATAACGATTTTTATATAGTTTATTTTACGAGACTCGGCATGAGCAAAATAGATTCACGGATTTCGATGAAAAAAAAACTAAAAAACAGAATGACGTCAAAATCTGCGAAAAGTTTTCATCCTTTTAATAGTCAGTTGTGCTTAGTTTAATTTGTAACATATAAATGTAGGTAAAAAAGCAAATGCTAATAAGATAGCGAGGGTTAGAAAGTACGGCCTGGGGACCCAGTGACCTCCCTGTGGTCGGGAGTCGGGGGTCGTTTGTTCTAGTGTAGTACACACTGGCCCTGATAACTGATGTCAACACCTGCCTAATTTATGTTTTATTATTTATTGTATTGAGTTTATTTGCAATCTTGCTGTTTTCAAATAAGAGGTTTTTTAATCCGCGTAAAAATTTCCGAAAACGTGTACTTGTGTATAATACGCAACACCTTTTTTGCTTTTAATTTTGGTTCAAAGTTTCTCATATTATACACAAGAAAATACGGTACCATGGACGTTACATTTTTGTAAATATACTTTTTGCCAGCATATACATTGGCAACATGAATCAATCTCATCAAACATCCGGGAGCTGTTCGTTTGTTTTTTTTTTCTTTGACGGCCGACAAAATCATTATCATCATCGTCGTCATCATCATTGCCACGACCTTTTGTGGTTGTAGGTTTACTTGGGAAAAGTGAGCACATGACCATCATCCTTCATATGTCTCGATTGCGTGTCAATGTCTGACTCTCTGTGAATGATCTTACAGTTCGTCTATCTCATCTTGCCTAAAGTAGAACCTTGTTGGATAGCAGACGAACAATTGTTGTCTCTTGTGAAATGTGTCCATACTATTACAATTTCTCCTCTTGACGGTGGTTATGAGATCTTTCAACGGGCCTGTCGCGACAAAATGTAAATTAGATCCGTTACATGATGTTTTTACTGTGACTAGGGAAAATGTTTAGAATCACACGCTGAATTGGCTTCTCGGCGTCGAGTATCGTCGTATTTTAGTGAGAAATAATTTCGGAGCCCTGCTCCGTTCCAGTTAAAATTTGTCACTTATGGTTGGGTATACGATATTTTTAAAAGCAATTAAAAAATTTGTCCATTACTCGGGATGCTTACCTTTTGAGTAAGAATTAATACACGAATTGGTTAAATTGCTGCTTACTTTTTTTATGTTTCGATCAAATATATAAAGGAAAGTCAATGTGGGTGGCCTATCGCCCGATTCATACTCCTCCCCCATATTTTGAACAGGAGTAGAGGCTTATCCATTGTTCCTGTTTAGGATTCGGTTTCCGGTTCCATCTAATGTTTTTTACCTTCTTCTCTTTGCCTTTCGGTGGTCCCTTGCGTCTTGGTGACATTATCACCTTACTTCGGGTGGAGCCTTTTACAACGTAACCCTCTATCTCTACCTCGAGTTGCTCTTGGGCCTTGTACAGGGTGAACATCATTGTAAAAAAAAAGATGAAAAATTACTAGAATTGATCGAATTCTTGAATGCAGTATAAAATAGTAACGCTTTTTAATTGTATGTTTTACTTCATTTTTGTTGTTCTTTTGAGTTGCTTAAGCGATACTGATGTAAGTAGTGGAGATGCTTAAGATTTAGTCAAATTTCAGTACAGCTGCTTAAAAACGAGTTGCTTATAAAAAAAAATAGTGTATATGTACATCAGAATAATTACTATAATGAAAAAGATTTCTTGCAAAAGATCAAGCATTACTTACTTGCCCGAAGGCCATATGCGGTACGTTTTGCTCTTTCTGAATGGTAAGCGTAATTTCAAAAGGAAAATAAACTTTCTTAAAATTTTGTTTTGTCTCCTTCTCACTTGTTCACTCACATACTCTCTCATACATAATCAATAATTGAATAAAATATTTCTTGAATTTTAAAAATTTTCGGTGGAAGTGACGTTTTCATCGTTTTAAACCATTGGCGATTTTAAGTAAGAAAGATCGTAAGTGTAAACATCTTTTGCTATTTAAACTGGAAACATTCATAATAATTTTTTCTCTAAAGAAGAAAAATATGTTTTTATTTTCAAAGGAACAAATTAGAATTAAATCACACGCAGCAGCGTATGTTAATCACATTGTCATAAGAGATAATATTATACCAAAACTTCAATTTTTTAATTATAAAAAAATCTTTTCTCCAAAGTTAAAAAAAAGTCAACTTTTCCCCCATTTCTCAAGTATATGCTTATGCATCTGGCCTTCTGTAGTGAAAATAGTTGAGGTGCCGACTACGAAAAATTACTTTGAATCTTAATAGTAGTGCCGTACCCTATGCGATGAGCCACAGATCATGCGGCCGATTACTCGACAAAGGTTTCCCATGTCGGAAGAGCAACATAAAACAGGAAATAGTGGAGAGCTATGATTATCCAAATCCTAAAGGGATATGGCACATAGATGGAGAGGGAGAGAGAGAGGAGGAGTGAGAGATAGAAGAGAGAGAAAGAGAGTATCTGTGGTAAAGAAGAACCCCTGACCTGATAGCGATTATCTGTTAGACAAAATTGAAAATTGAGATACATATTTTTCTGTAGAAATCCAAAGTGTGATTCCGTTGTTGGCCTTTTTAAGTGGTACTGCGTTTTCTTTCTTTCTATCTTTCTTTTTAACGAATTTATTTCGTGTATAGAAAGTAAATTAAAATCAATAATCTAACAAAAAGTCAATTCAAGAGGAAAAATACCGTTTTAAAGAATTCATAGTTATGGCTTCTTTCGTGGTATTATATCCGCAAATACAAGTTAAATTGGGTTCTTTAGGAAAGAATAGTAAGAACCAAATGCAGAATATTTAAAGATAGAGCCAACATTTATATGCCACACTGAGACAAAATGGAACATAGGTAAAACCAATTCTTATTCATTTATTTACTATTGTGGACATAAAATTAGAACGAGAACGAGGCTGAATTTGAAAATGAAATTTCAAAAGTAATTATCAAAATTCTCTATTCTCTCTTTAAGTCTCGTTCTATGTTTAATCTGTCTATGCCTCTCATAGCTGTCCCATACCTATTCGTTTATTTCTTGCTAGGGAAATGTTTATCTGTCTATATCCATCTTAATTTGTTCATATTTATCAATTTTCATCCAGTTGTATCTAGCTACCTGTCTGTCTGTCATAGCTGATTCATATCAAACTCCATCTACATCTAACGCAGTGATTATTGGTTATATTTTTATTGAATGTTAATACAGGTTTCAGGACTTCTATTCATTTCGTCAAGTTTTGTAGTGAGCACCGATAAAAATAAAATAAAATACAAAAATAATATATATATATATATATATATATATTGATTTAAAAACATTGAATTTAATCATTACTAGGAATGAAAGAGGGAAATGAAAGAGTAAAAACAACCGGTTGTTTTTTCTCATTTATTTTTCATTGTGTCTAGTAATGATTAAATTCAATATTTATAAAAACAATACAAGTTCTATACTGCTAAAATGTATTTAAACACACACAAACACACACACACACACATATATATATATATATATATATATATATATATATATATATATATGGTAGACTCTCCCGACGTATGATGTTCAAGTAGCTCAGTTCCTAGGAAACGACAGCCTGACACCAGCACATGAGATTTGGTTATAGTGGTGAAGACTTTGTGCAGAACCATTCACACATTTTGAAGGGCTGAATACAGAGATCTGGTGCACTAAGTGCCACAATGTCCCTAAACGACCCTCCGCAGGTTTTGAATTTAGAGTTGTCCTTCTCCTAGACCAGTTGCAATCTAAGGCTATAGAACCCAGTTTGTCCTGCTATTTACCCATAGCTGGGGGGAGAAGAAGAGGATTCATACCTTTCACACACACACACACACACACACACATATACATACATATATATATATATATATATATATATATATATATATATATATATAAAAATTAAAATTAAAATAAGGCATTTACGCTTTCCTTTAAAACCTTTGCCTCTTTATTTCTTTGTTTCTTTCTCTCTCTCTTCCTCTCTCTCTCTCTGAACTTCTCTCTATATACTTCTCTCTCAAGTAACGAGAAAGCAACTCTCAAATAAAAAAGACGAAGAAGAAGAAGAAAAGACTGAACCTGGCCGAAAACGCCGGAAGTTTGCAGGACCAGAGCTGACTAATTTGTGACTGAAAAACTGCCAAAAATCAGAGAGGTTCTACGCATAACTTCCACAAAAAAAAAAAAAATGATAAAGAAAGGAACGCCGGAAAATAAAATCATTTTGGCCAATCAAAACATTAACACAAAGAAATTTTTGATGTTAGCCGAAACCAATGTCCGTGACAGCAATCTGGGGACTCGTTCAAATGGACATAAGCTCTGAGCTAGACGGAGCGAAGGGACGGCAAAAGAAATTACTAGAGCGTCAAAGAAATCAACCATGCGTGAAGTGTGAAGAAATATAAGAGGTCGTCTGCTAATATTTTCTGCCTTTCTTGGAACCGAGAAAAACACAGTAGATTGACGCTGACCTGTTTCTAAGACGATTGCTGCTACCAAATTCTAACTTCTAAACTGTCGAATACCGATTTGAAACGGACTTTCTCCCGACTCCTCCCAAGATCTGCCCTATGAACGAACTCTCGTGACCCTGAATTACAAAGGACTCACTCCAATTTAAATCAAATGAATAAATATATATTAATTGTTTATAACCCTTGATCTACTTCATTTTTTTTATTGCAAAGTTTCCAGTAAAATAAACACCAAGAATCTCTGGCACAAATTACCAGAGTTTTAAGGGAAATAGAAACAAGAAAGAAACCGCTGCTTACAGCCAGAAAGTTGGAGCTGGACTTTAAAATTAAACTCTGTACTGATTAACGGAATAAAATCCTGAAACATATTCTAATATTCAATGAAAATATAATATTTGTCTACGATTATCAGTTAGTTTATCTATTTATATGTCTATACGTCTCAGTCTTTTTCTGGGTAATTTGTGATACAATGATTGGTTTCTCGTAGGATACACCTGCGGGCACATATACAAGGCTGCTCTGACCCCGCGAATCTTGGAACCAGAGTAATCCAATCCTTCCACTTTATTCAATGGAGCAGTTGGAATCATCAGGACCAGACTTCCCTCATTGCTTTTTCGTAAACTACCATATATACTCAACTATGAATACTATGTTTTTTTAATCAAGTCGACTTATATACGAATATAATCGGTAGCTACTACTTTCTACGCTACGTTTACGGAGTCGAATCACCCACATTTCCTCTGAGAAGGAAGTTCCAATTAAAGAAGAACAACTTTGTAGGAAAAACTCCCATATAGGTGCTTTCCTGAATACTATAAACTTAACCCCTTCAGGTCAAAGTTCAACCGTTATCTCTCATTTTTATCATCAAGTTTCCTATCATACACATCATTCAGTAACCCCCCCACCTTTATCGTGGGTGAACTTTAGTAAAAATAAAAAAATAAAAATACTACCAGAAACAGGACAGAAGTGGAACAGCTACTACACTTTAATCCCAACTAATAGAGGCCTCTCCTTCACGGTTGTAGAGTATGAAACATGGTCGGTTTTACGTGGGATACTCATATGTGTACATGCAGCCCATGGATAAAAGCTGCTCTATCTGCTGTTACATTGGCGTTATAATCCTCTAATTCTCCCTAGTTAGGGGAATGGGGATGGTGCTGCAGCAATTATGAAACCCTTGGGAAAGGGCTCACCTCATTGCAGTCTGTGAACTACCCGAAGGCAGAAAACGGCATCGATGATTCGCAATGTATTATGGGAATACCGGAACAAGGGGATGGAAAATAATCTATACTTCTTCCGGTCACAAAACCAGGCAAAGAAGCGCTGATCTATATATTCTTCTTTCATATGCAATAGTTTTTCAAGATGCCGTCGATTATGGCTCTCAACAATTTCCTGTATTTTGTTGCTCTAAATAACTTTTTAGGTGCTCGGCGGTGTAATGGGAAATAGGAGGACCGAGTTCGAATTCCAGTCGGGCTTCTTACATTCACTTACGCACAGATACACTTCTGCCTACAGATATGGGTAAATGACAGGAGAGACTGGGCCCTAGAACTTCAGTTGGTAATCAGCCCAGGAGAAGGAAAACTTTGAATCCAAACCAGCGTGGAAAGACACACCGCCGCTGCTACGGCTGCATTACATCTGGTGCACCTACGACCCTCAGGGGTTCGCTGGACTCATGATCATGAAGTAACTGTTACCCTTTACAACCTCTTTGTACTCCTTGTTCTGCACTACTTCCACCCAGTGTCGTCACGTACATTACTCTCTGTTTTCTTTCTGCTTCTCTTGTTTTCAGAATGCCATGTGAGTGTTGACCTCTCCAACCCTTCTTTTCTCACGATGCATCCCAGCTACCGCTTTCTTACTGTTAGCAGCAGTTTTCTTGTAGTTCCTCTTTAAAGCTTCCCTATTTCTCATATGCTCTGTCCATGGTATTCTCAACATTCGTCGATAGATCTCTCGTCACTTCAAGTTTCTTCTTCCTCTGCGATGGCTTAGTCCAACATCCACTGCCGTATAGAAGATTAGATATTACATAAGTATAGTCTACTTGTATCTATACTGAATGTTCTGTATCTTTTTGTGGGAGGAGGGTAGTTCAGTCGCTGGAAGAGTCACGTGTGGTCGGATTTCAAGGTCAATTAAAGTTTTATTGCTGATTTTCAAGGTAAGTATTTTCCGCATTAAACGGACTGGAGTAATACATTTCATACTCGTAAAGCAGTCAGAATGAGAAGGAAAGACAGGACTAGTTATGACAGATTAGATTTGACCTGGATATATGGAAATAGACCATGGAGTTCTATGCTGCAGGTCTGCTCATGATGCAACTAAGGACCTGAACTGAAGGCCTATTTCAAAAGCTCCTCATTCCACTGAATAGAAACAGAAATAATTTCAAGAGCAGCACAAACAATGGCTGCAATCAGAAACTAAATAAAACATTTCAAAAGAAGAACATCTACCTCAAACTGTTGCGTGTCTTGGCCTCCCGAACCTTTCTGTACGTCTGCGAAACTTGGACATTAACAGCAGAATTATAGCGAAGAGTGTCAGCATTAGAAATTAAATACTACAAAACCAACAACATCACCTCCGTAAATCGCATCACAAATAATGCCATGAGATCGAACAAGAAGCATGACCGTTGGAAGGCCTCAAAACTCCCATAAAGAAAAGACAATTGAAACGACATGCGTACGTTATAAGAGCCAACATGGGCACTTCGATGTGGTGTAATGATTAGAAAGCTTGTCTCGCTATATCTATTGCAACAATACGATCTTCACTGGATTTCCCATACTTTCGGATATGTGCTTTTTATATAGCAATAAAATGTCGCTGCCGACACTTGAGTTTGAACATAGATCGCCACTGAGCAAACACAGGCGATGCCATTATTGTATTAAGTAGACCACGTAACCCTAGAGGAACCGCATAAATAGGAAGACGCGTGACGTCTAACTGATCACTATTCTAGTCTATCCTCTATTACTATTCGTTTCTGCATTTCTAGCCTATCCTCTATTACTATACGGATCGTTATTCTCTATTCTATTCACTATACTATTCCTCTATTCGGATCCGTATAAGGATTATTGTTCGAGCGAGTATTATCGAGCAAGTACTATTAGTGCGATTGAAATTCGAAGGTGTCTGACACTAGCAGTGTTAAACTGAGTTACTATAGTTGCATCTGCGATTACAAAGTCTCTACTACAACGAGCATTACGAAAGTGACAACGAGTATTCGTTGACATTACAAGAGAGGCAACGAGTAATCGTTGATGTCACAAAAGTGCCACATCTAAGCTGCGTTTAGAAGTTCACCATATGAACCAAAATGTTTACGACTGCCATCTTACAAGATAAGGTAAAGTAACAAGAGGCAAGTAGAGAGGATAAGGGCTGACAACATCACTGAGTGTAATGGAAAATCATTCAGAGACACAAACATTGGCAGGCAACAGACACATGCCTCAAGTTAGTCACGTTCTCAGCTAGCCATTGACCCTACGACCAACCCAGGTAATGGGACTGATGATGATGAGAATAATATTTTTCATATAAATTTAATAATATTCTCTGGGATATTTTTTATTCAGAACAACAAATATATTGATGATAAAATTTGTTTTTTTATGAGTAATTTGTTTGATTTTTTTAAATTTTTATAAGAGGTATTTTTTTAAGGTATGTTGAACTTTAGTTTTTTGTTTACCATAAAAAAAAAACAAAAAAATAGAAGGGAGTGTAACACTTATAAAAAATTCACTAAAAATGTCATTTATTAAGAATGTTGTTAATTTCTTACATTTCTCACTTAATCTGTGAAATTAAAACATTTTCAAATAGGCTTGCCTTTCTAGCCCTTAGTTGCACCATGAAGAGACATGTGGTATAGAACGCTATGAAATACATGCATCGATTTTAACGAACTGATAAATCTACAAAAGTGTTTGTCTTTCTATGTGTCTCTCTCTGTCTCTCTGTTCGTATCTCTCTCTCTATATATATATATATATATACATATGTGTGTGTGTGCTTATGTGTATGTGTGTGTGCGTGCGTGTGTGTGTGTCTATGTGTATGTGCGTGTGTGAGTGTGACAAAATCAACCTCACATATGTTTGAACCAAAATGGTATACATTTTTCCAACTAAGAAAAAAAAACTACAACAATAGGATAGTTTCCCATTTCTATTTAACGCCAATCTGAAATCTTTATAAATCTTCTGCTTAATAGGAAATAATTTTTTGCACACTTAGTTATTCTCTTCTGATCGTATTTGAATTATTTATTTCCCTCACAAAAACAAAAAAAAATGAAGAAAGTTTTTTCTTTGAAACCTGAGCAATTCTCTTTTCGAGATTAAAACGCAAAATTTCATATGAAATCAACAAGTTAAAAAACTTCATAACACAGTGTATGTATAAGCGTACAATATCTTTATAGATAGATAGATAGATAGATAGATAGATAGATAGATAGATAGATAGATAGATATGAACAAACCCTGATAGATATTGCTATTCATAATTATGCATGTATAAGTGTACAATTTCTTTATACATTTAGATAGATAGATAGATAGATAGATAGATAGATAGATAGATAGATAGATAGATAGATATGAACTGGCTGAGATAGATAGATAGATAGATAGATAGATAGATAGATAGATAGATAGATATTGCTATTCATAATTATGTATGTATAAGCGTACAATATCTTGATAGATAGATAAATAGATAGATAGATAATGAACAGACTGAGATAGATAGATAGATAGATAGATAGATAGATATAGACAGAAAGATAGATAGATAGATAGATAGATAGATAGATAGATAGATAGATATGAACAAGCCCTGATAGATAGAGATTACTATTCATAATTATGGATGTATAAGCGTACAATATCTTTATAGATAGACAGATAGATAGATAAAGAGATAGATATGATCAGGCTGAGATAGATAGACAGACAGATATGGATATAGGCCCGAATACACTGAGATAGATAGATAGATAGATAGATAGATAGATAGATAGATAGATAGATAGATATGAACAGGCTGAGATAGATAGATCTATTCATAATTATTAACACAAAAAAAATCCAACACTAAAATACACACATAAGCACATGCAAACGCGCGGGCGCACGCACTCATACACTACTTACATACACACATATGAACATTAAAGCAAAGACTGTTTCTTATTTTCATCAGCATCCGTTCTCGATCACTAAAGGATCGCGTGCTTATATGTATATGTGCGCGCCTGTATTCGTTTGTTTATATGTATATCTGTGAGTACGTGTACGAATGGATATGCATAATAAGCTTAGGAACAAATAGAAAACGTTTATAAATTAAACATTCTTCATAAACATTTCCTATTTGTTCCCTATCCTATCATTCTATCGGATTAGATTGAATATTTGATTCTAATTCATGTATGTGTAAATTGTATGTTTTGTATGTGGCCAAGTAGTTAGAACGTTCGCATTCTGACCATGAGACCCGGCTCCGAATCTCACCATGGTCGATATGTCAGGAAGGAGACGCTGATGTTATCGGTCGATCCCAGTATGCGACAGCTTTGGAAAATGCCTGACCCAAGAATGTGAATGAAAATGGGTAGACGGAACTCTTGGAGACCGTCGATAGCTGTGCTAGCACGAAGTCACAAGTCATCGTGGCCGAGGGCTTGAGCATTCAAATTGTTGATCACTAAGGTCTGCTCAGCATAGTTGCAGGTGGGCTCTGTGGGTGTTGAACAAATAGAGATGTGCCTGAGCTAGAGTCTGCGATAGGGATTGGCTAACCGCCCTATAAGGCGGGTATCCTCGAATACGAGTGACCAGCTATAAATGTGTATGCCTGTGTGTGCGTATATGTATGTTGCTACTGCTATTATTATTATTATTATTATTATTATTATTATTTCCTTCGATTTCTGGTGTGTACTCATTTCTTTCCGGGTCCCGACCAGAGACCTAAGGTCAGAAATGGCATCATGACATTTTTCACTGAGCAATTTATTAAAACCCCAAAAAGCACATATTTTACATAGTTAAAGCCCTTCGTAAGGTGTGGGCTGTACTCGTGAGAACAATTTTTGTATTTCTTTAAAGCATGTGCTATCAGGAATCCCTTCAATAAATCCACTGGAATCTTTTCGAATCAATCCGAGGGCTCCAACTACAACAGGAATTGTTGATGTTCTCATGTGCCACATTTTTGATATTTTTATTTCAAGGTCATTGTATCTTGATATCTTTTTGAAGATCTTCAAAGATACATTGCAGTCTGCAGTGACTGCTATATCAATAAGGAGGCAATGTTTTTTTGTTTGCGATCTCTAATAACAATGTCTGGTGGTTAGCTCTGATTGTTTTGTCTGTGTGTATTATAAAGTCCAATAAGATTGTTAGAAGTCCTGTCTCCGTAATCGGGTCTGGGTGGTGTTCATACCATTTTCTTGTAGTTTCCCTTCCGTAAAAGTTGCAGATTTCCCAGTGCATATATTGGCCACTCTGTCATGCCGGGTTTTATATTCAGTGGGTGCCAATATCCTGCAACCTGATACGAGATGATCAATTGCTTCTGGATATTTATTATTATTATTATTATTAAATTTATGTATGTATGTTATTTTTCCCGCTTTGTATTCTGTAGAGCCGAGTCCAAACTATGGTACTAGGCCCAAAAGGAGAATTATCGTTTATTGGTAGCACTTTTCTTAGTATACGGGATGTTCCTAGTAGGGTGATTTTCTGGGCAACTTGTATGTTGATGTTACCTGGGACACTGTTAGTAAAACAGTTCATGTCCTCAACTGCGATTACTGTTGGTACAGTCTCAGTCTTCATTCCCCATATCCTGTTAATCTCGATCTCCACCTCCTTGTATTTGGACAATTTCTCGATAATTGTCATGGATATGGTTCTCTATGCCAATAAGCATACACTTAATTCCTGAATTTCTTGTCTTTTATGATAATATCAGGTCTCTTGGCTTTTATTTCCCTGTCAGTTTGAATTGGAATGTCCCAGAGGATAGCTACATCGTTATTGTTTTACTTTAGCCGCTTCTTACAGTGAAAATTCGAGGGAGGCAATCATGGCACTCCACAACTTCCCGTCCTTTGTAGCTCTTGATAAATTTTGTCCTGTTATTTCTCCTAAACCCTGTTCCGCCATCCATTTACTCAAACTCACGAAGTATGTTATGCATTCTTTTCTTCTGTCATTCTTGCCTTCAGTCTGTCCTGTGAGTATCAGATTCTCCAAGCCCTCTTTCCTCATAGTGTTCCCTGGAAAGTTCAACTGTCTCATCCTGATGTTAAAAAGTTTCCTTTTCGTTTTCATTTCTTTTTAAACCTCGTCTTTGCTCATATGTTAGGTCCATGGTATCCTCAGCATCCTTCTGTAGAGCCACATTTCTATTGCTTCAATCTCTTATTCACCTTTGAGGAGATTGTCCAGCACTCACTGAGGACAAATACCGCGTAACAGTTTAGTATTCTTTTAATAAAAAGCTAACATCGCTGCTGAAATGCTGTGGATAAGATTGACCCCTGCATTCCTTAACAATTTTAACCCTTCTTCCTGAGCTCCTGAGTCAAAATTCCCAAATAATTGTTATGTAATGTTTCACAGTAGATATAAAAATAGTTACAAGTGTTTACCCACCGTTCAACCGGTGGCTGGTTATTAAGTCATTTTTCTCTACCACCGTTCAACCGGTGGCTGGGCATTACGTCATTTTTCTCTACCACTGTTCGGCCGGTACCTGAGCATTAAGTTATTTTTCTCTACCACTGTTCAACCGGTGACTGGGCATTACGTCATTTTTCTCTACCACCGGTAAAGCGGTGGTCAGGTCTCAAAGGTTTAAGAATCTGATTAGGCAGCTGATGGTGATCCCGAAAGAGGATATTACTGAAGGTTTTAGTGGAATGTATAAGCGGTGAGTTCCCATTGACAAGAATTTGAAGTGGACTAAAGCATCCTTGCATTTTTTTTTTCTCGTAGTATTGAATAGCGTGATACTTTCCGAGAAAACCTACCTTCTCTCAATCTTAAATATTTAAAAAAAATCATAAAAGTTTTTTTAACAAGGTAATGACATGATAATTGCCGAAGGCATCTACTCTTAAAATCAGCCATATTTGAACACTTTACATCTCAAGATGTAAAATAACTGTATGGAAGGTAACAAAGGATAGAGAGAATAAAGGACTCTCAACAATAAGAAGACAGAATGTATGGATGTCAGTAAGAGAGACAATCCAAGGTGCGAGCGATGAACTGGATATATGAAAATCAAACAGGTACAGAAATTTAATTGCCAGCGTAGTGTAACGACAGACGATATAGAATATGGCAAAGAAATCCGAAGGCAGATTGGAATATCAAAACAAGTTCCCCAGAAACTAAGCAAAGTATTAAGATGGGAAAATTTCATTAGAAACAATGAAAACTGTACTAAACTGCTATGTAATATTAATCCTCCCCTATATGATAGAGAATGCTGGACAATCTCCAGAAGAAGTTATGTCAGTCAGTTATGTGCCATGCTTAGACGATCATGTATCCTATGATACATGACTGACGAGGCAGATTTTTCCCGCAGTAGGTTGCCATTTCTTTCTGTGGTAGATCGGTTGCCATCCAAGGCTATAGAACCCGATCTGTCCTGCTATTTACCCATAGCTGGAGAGGGGGGGAGAACATGATTCATACCTTTTCCAAGCACGTAAAGTGAATGTAATGGATTTGACTGGAATTTGAACTCTGATTGCTCAATCTGAGCCGTTATCCATTACTCCACCGTGCATCCTTACTATTAGTAATACTCACCTCTAAATTATTTTACAATATCTGTTTTCATACGTCTCTCCCCCTCGACCTTACTGTCATGAATGACCCTACAGACAGCTTCGCTCTTGGGATCACCGGGGAACGCTAGCCCTCTAATATGAGAAGGAACGATCATATATATTTTACACTGGATCTTGGAGTGAACAGTTCGTTATCAACTTTACTATTAGTAATCAGTCAGTCAGTTATGTGCCATGCGTGATACACGCTTAGGCGATGATGTATCTTTTGATATTGCCATTTCTTTCTGCGGTAGACCGTTTGCCATCCAAGGCTATAGAACCCGGTCTGACCTGATATTTACCCATAGCTGGGGGAGAAGAAAAGGATTCATACCTTTCCCAAAGGTATTAGCATGTAAGTGAATGTAATAGATTTGACTGGAATTCGAACTCGGCTCTCCGATTCCTCAATCCGAGCCGCTATCCATAACTCTAACGCTCGAAGTGATAGAGATGTAGTTCTACAGAAGGCTTCTCAGAATACTCGCTGAATTTTTGAGCAAGGAGGACATTTTAAAGAAAAGGGAAACTAAAAGGTCATTTATACTTAAAACCAGAAAGAGACATCTGACATTTCTAAGACACATTTTGAAGAAATGGATCTTGTAGAATTGAATACTTACAGGGAAAATTGAAAGTGGGGGAGGTAAAGAAAACGAATCACATACTTAAGGAGTAACTGACCGAACGAATTTGTGCGCATAGATAAGGACAAAGGGCTAAATGTTGCGTTGAGCTGGAAGGGACAACAGGCTGCGGAGGCCCACGTTCGCCAACGTACATAAAGATAGAGATCTCTTGCATTGCGTGGCAATTAGTCGACGTGAAGGAGAAAAATCTGAATATAAAACTGTAGAGAAGGCAACGGGAAATCTCCAAAATATTTACAAAGAAGCCATGGCATTTCATAGAAAATAAAGAAAAAGAAACAATGGAGATCCATGATGACTGACATCCTGAAGAAACATGGTATCCAAAATTATCTATCTATCTATCTATCTATCTATCTAGCTAGCTAGCTAGCTAGCTATCTACAGGGTGCGATGGATAAATTATCGTCTAAATTACGCAAAAATGAAAATACTGACATCTCATTTTAACAGATATATTTACCAAAATTGCACAAAAATAACTTGAAATACTAGAGAGTAATTTTATTCTATAAAATCGCCATTCTCTTAAACCACGGCCTCCCAGAAGACT